CACGTGGGAGTGACATGTGTTGTGAGTGTTCAGCGCGAGCGAACATGTCAGAACAAGAGCAACTCGTTAAAAAGAAGGGTCGCGGGGAGATTCCCAGTCGATCGCGAGATGTGTCTAAAAATAGAACAACAATATTCTGTTTTATCTTTAATTTCCTGTAACATAATCTTCCTGTGCCAGAATAATGCACTTGAACGCATCAAAGCTTCGTGATTGGCTTTTGTGATTGGCCAAAAAATGGGTTTGATTCTATTAATTTTGTCTTTTTTATTGCACTTTGGCAGCAGATTCCTGTGTAGCTTCAGATCTGAGTTGTCTTATTAGTAAGCCTAATTTATACTTTTGTAGCAACACTATTTTTAAATAATGGCAAAGAAAGGGTTCAGAGTCTTTTCTTTTTTCCCTGTGTCATATGTGGCAGCACTGCCACAAGTTCCTCTTCAGAGAGGGTCTTCAGTACAGGTGGCAATNAGTGTGTTATACGCACTACAACTTGTTTGCACTAGCACATATCATCTCTCATTTTGGAAAAACCGACATGTAATTTAGTGAAAGTGGTACAGTACCGAGTGGTTTAAATAATAAGATCTTGAAACAGTTTTTCCAAAATGTCCCAAAGTCAAGTGGAACCTCGCCTGGCTTCCACCTGACTCCGCTTTCCTCCTCTGCTTCGGCGGATCACAGATGGGCGGACATTGTCCTGTTATGAAACTAGAACCACACATTTCAACATGTATAGATCATGTCGCACACACACTCCCCCACTAAGGCATGTGTTTAAGCGTGTTTTAGTTTATTTCTAAGTGGATTTTAAAGTTGGCATACTACAGTACATGCTGAATATGTGCAAACAAAGGCAAGCTTTAGCAATGACATGCCTTTATCTGAAGTAAGGACGTTTTATTTCTTCATATTAAGGTTTAAATGTGCTTTAGCAACCTTTTTATCACCGCGAAATCAGTTATTCTGGGGGCTGAGTGAATAATGAATGTTGCGTTAATTTTTTTGTTCCCTTAAAAGTGTTATATGACGCAATTTACAAATCCCCATCAGATACCAGAGGAAATGACCTCAGAATTCTTGGACATTTCCAACGCTAGTATTGGCAGCAATTATCCACAAAAAGATTGAGATTTGCCACTTTTAATGTAGGTGTAAGGGCAGCGAGAAGGTGGTCAATATTTTTATCTCTAAGTGGGGTGGTAGGCACCATGGCGGCGACGCTGACAGCACCTCTGGCTTTGTAAAAGCTTTCAATACCAAAGAGAGGAGCGTCGAGTTACACTGAGACTCAGACAAGGTTTTTACTCCTCCAGTATAAACACACTTACGAGGCTGCTAACATGCAGGGACATAGCGACTGGAAAGAGTATGCAACCTTCGGTAAGGTTCATCCACACCATGCCATTCTTCACTATCTGTAAGTATTACGGAACGTCTTAAAATGTAAGACTACTTTGATGAATGGTGTCACAATAACAATACATTAGAAACTGCAATGAAAGGCATTGTTTAAAGCGGTGCCTCTATTTTTTGTTTATGAATTTGATGAGTAAGTAAGCTGTTCAAGATACTGTGCAATTCAATGGGCAAAAAAAAAAAAAATAAAAAAAAAAAAAAAAAAAAAAAAAAAAAAAAAAAAAAAAAAAAAAAAAAAAAAAAAAAAAAAAAAAAAAATCGTAATTTGATATTCTGTTTGGTTGCATTTATAAAAATCACTTTGGTGGGGTTACGGAAATCAATAACGGACATGTCCATTTTAAAAAGCACATGTTAAACATAGATTGTAAACATGACGAGTGAAACACATATGTTTTCCACGCCAGAAGTGTTTAATGATAAAAATGGGAAGTGTACATACAGGAGATTGATAACAAATATGTGGTGGCTGATATTGTGTTTTTTTTATGTGAGAGTTGATTTAACAATTAATTTAGCAGTGGAATTAACTCAGCGCAGAAGTCTTAAAAGTGTTTTCAAACAAGGAGCAAATGTAGGACATATTATAATTGTGGTTAGACTTTATTTGAGATCCCACAAAAGGCCTGTTTAAGTAAAACAACCAAACCACACAAAAAATGGTGTTGGGTGTATGCAGGCAGATGAGGGAATCTTTTGGTCGAGTATTTAATTAATAACAAATGAAACCCGGTCTGTAAGTGATAAGCAGACACTGCTCTCTTGATACAGTGGTTCCAGTCCGGAAAAAAGAACACTATTATGGCCCACAGGAGCAGAAGAAAGTTGAATAGGGCGAAGGATCATTGGGGTAGCTATAGTAAACAGAAACAAGGTTGGGCAGGCTCCATAATCCACGTTTCTGAAGCGAGGCTGACTCAAACAGAGGAAGGGCACATATGTAAGAGGATTTGGCTTTTGAAGTAGCTGGTTAAGACGGTGTTGTTTAGAGAAGCAAACAGCTGAGATTAAAACAAGCTTTAAGAGAAAAAGCTACACGCGCTACGGGTAAATATTTAAGCTGTTATATATGACACTTCCCGAGGGTGGTAGCTTAGCAGTAAAATAACTTTGGTTTTTTTATTTCAAGTTTTCTTTTGTTTAAGGCCATGCCCAATGAGGCAGTTTTTCTTATGATAATAAAGTTGTGCTGCGAGTTCTCATGCATTGGCCGAAAGCAGATTACTGAACGCTTGGATGGAAGGCCAGGCTCAAGTTCCATTGCTTCGTCTCATTTTGTTAACCCACATTAGAATGAATGGATTCTTTCAGAGGGATTCTTGGGTGTCTTTGTAATGAGCTCCATAAAAGAAAATAGTTTTAAAGACATGACTTTGGTTCCAGGAATGAAATGTTCTTTAAATCAGGTCTGTGAATGATTTATGAACAACTCCTATGTCACAAAGCCTCAGAATGTAGCATAGGATATGGCGGGGAAGGATTTGGTTAATTGACAGTTCTAGCAAAAAAACATGAGAAACGGCATTTAAAGATACGTTTCAATACCATTTTGTGGAACACTATTGTTTGAAGTGGAATATCTCGCATTGAACTTTGCCCCAGTGGATCAGCATACCTTAAAACTATATTATTTTTGCAATACATGTTTCTAAAATGGTTATGTTCAGATAATAAGATTAAGCATTATCTGATGCTAACCTCTTGGTGATTTGAGGAGAATCTAAAGACAGAAAATAGACAAAATTATTCAAATTAACAACTCCTTAAATGTGAGTTCTGGGGTCTTAATCTAAATGTTATTATGGAACGCAACCTAGGCCAACATTTTCAAAAATTAACCATTGGCATTATATGCTTCATCGTCAGTGGAACAAAGGTCACTGTATCTCGAACCTAACATGTTATCTAAATCCCGTTGTCTCTTTCCCCATTCGTAGAAAAGGCTCGTTAGCTTTCTCAAACGGGCAGGCAGACGGATGACAAAGCATGCTCACGATATCTTGTCAACCGTAAGTCTAATTGTCTCATAATAAGCACATTAATAGAAGATGCCTATCTTCCTTCAGTTTCGCTCACCGCTCCTTTATCTTCCTGTTGCAGTCCAGCCTGCTGACATTCTCTGCTCCAAGATGGTGAGGTGATCAATGTGGAGGAGGCCCCAGGCCCGGCTCTCCTTCCTGGCTCAGAGGCAAAAGCTGTGGAGTAACAGAGTTCCTGGATGTTGGAGTAAGGCCGTTCAACTCGCGAGACATACAGAACCAGGTGGGAACAGATGGCATGAATGGTCAAAGAAGATGGTGTTGAAAAGCGTGGCATGGCATACTGACATTTGGCCCCTTCAAGCTTTTTTGAGGATGAGCTGGAAGAAATACGCCTTTCCGCATCCATTTCCGCTTGCGGACGCCGTAGGCACAGACCAGAGAAACAGCTTCCCGTCCCTCCTCCCAGCTGGTCTGCCAGAAGTGCAGATCGAAAAAGAAGGCCCCGACATCCTCTTGCTTCAACTGCGAGGATGTGAAGGTGAGTATGACGCCTGGCTTTCGCTCCCAATCTGTGGCGTCACTTTTTTATTTGTCTGTACAGTTCAGGTTTCAGCGAGTGAGCGCCACTTCCTAATTCTCAGTCTCTCACAGGCAGCAACGAATCGTGTGTGACGACATCGCACAGCGCAAGTTTCTGCTCCTGTGCACCGGCAGGAAGTAACGGAAACCTGATGCTTATCAGGTAGGACGTGAATTCATGCCGTCAAAAATCGTAAAAATGCAAGACTGGTGTAAAAACGTAGAGAGAAACCAGTCCGGGCTCGGCCTTTATATCAGCTTCGTGGTGTTTCAAATAGGCAAGGCTTAAAAGCCCGGCTAAAATTCCATGTCTCATTGTGTTTTTAATTTAAGAAGTGTGTCTATGAGTGTTTGTGTTTGCATTCAAATTTGGTAATCGGAGGCGAGGTTTCAAAAGAGCAGACACTGACAATACATGCACCATCCACGACGGCGATCTCTTCCATTTAAACATGTTTTTGTGGTTCTCCTGTTTTTCTGCTGCTATTATATAATACATTTAGCCATGATTCAAAGCATTCCACCTGTCCGTGAATGAGTGGAGAGAGAGGACGCGGGGTAAACAGCTGAGGAGAGAATAAACCTGTCTTTACCGGTTTTTGGCAAACTTGGGAACGGTGTGAGCAAAGAAACAAAGTCCAGATGTGACAGAAAGCACAGAGAGCAGAGGAGGGAGAATTGGCGGGCAGTCGCTGGTGCATCTGTGCCTGTAACCTGAAACGGATCTCACACCTCTGATTTTTAAACCACTATTTGTATTTGATAAGGACGCGTTTAAAGGACATCTAATGTGGTAAGACCAATTGGTGGCTGTTTTAGATGGGCGTGAGTTCTTAAGTAACGTTTGATTCAACACTCTTACAGGGGTCTTTGTAAAGTTTTGATCAACACACGCAGGGTGTTTGTAATAGAGAAGGCAAACATGCAAAAACGTGTGTCCCCTTTCACTTTAAACTGGTTTATTGCTTGCTTATTTTGTTTTGAGAGTTTAGATACGAAGCACAGTAAGTCGTGAGAAAGTCAGATCAGAGTGTATTCAGATACGTTTCGATGGATGGGAGAGGCGAGGGTATGTATTCAAGACAAAAACGACATAACAAATCGTTTTATCTGTTGATAAGAAGAGAAGATGTATCGGACTCAACAAATACACAATTATCATCCATGATTGTAAGCGTAAATAAGTCTGCAATTCAATCAGGATGACCGTGTCATGCGTCGATGTAACATCTATTATGGGTGATTTCCACATTTGTACACAGATGATCAGACCACATACAACAAAACAAGATAGAGATACACATCACCTGACTGTCGAAATAAAGACTATACACTACATCAGTCTCTGGCTTCTCAGGATAAAGGAGAGGGAGGAGAGGTGACGAACACACAGAATATAGGAAACATCCACACACCCCCATCCGCACCCCCTCCAAGCCAACCTCCACCTTAACCCCTGGACCCCAGAGGTAAGCGAAACAACATTTTTTTTCACACTGAATTGGCTTGTGCTTTGATTGTAAAAGTATTTGGAGGATTTGATAAGATGAGAAGGGAAGAGAGAAGCGAGAGGTATTTAGGAGCAGCGACATTGCTTTGTTGTGTTTTGTGTGTGTGCTAAGGGTTGGAGTGGGTTTTCAAGGGTAAAGGGGAGAGGATTCCTAATGCAGGAGAACAGCCAAAGCTGAGTGGAGAAATGGATGACTGAATCCTATCTCTCTTCCCAAAGCAGAGAACGGCAATAAACGGGCGGGCAAGACATTTCCTTCCTGGCGAGCAGAGAGAGACAGTGGTACGTGACATTCAGGGTCTTTTAATGTCACCTTTTGGCTGTCATTCAACGATTCTGGTAAGAGTTATAAACTGCTTATTCTTCCTCAGGGGATCCTCAATCACGCTTCGATGACAATTAGAACTTCATGGGCAAACTGCAGGCAGGAATGGGCGGACGCTGCCCCGACGGTGCTCAAACCAGAAGAAGGAAGAAGAAGAAAAGTAAAAAGGCAAAGTGCTGAAGGTAAAAGAGATGCATGGACTCTTTTTGGCACACATACTCAAGTTGAAGATCACACTGCTATGGATCCTGGATGCCTGATTTTCTTGTGTGTTTTCTCTGAATACAGAAGGACTTAACTCACTGCAAAAGCCCGCCTCAGCGGGAAGGAATTTGTCCGATGTCTTCCATGAAATTCAAATTTGCTTCAGCCTGTTTGTGTGTATACGAACCATGACAACGTTTCCTATATCTTATCTTGCTGTGACACGTAGTAATATGCTCTATTTATATCTTTGAAGGCCTCGTCTGAAAATGCAACATCTCCAACCCGTTCATCAGAAAGAGCTCGTTCACCACGTGTTAAAACCTTTTGGATATGTGAGGCTGTTTCTAACCATCCACGCTCCACCTGTTGTTGGTGTAGAACACAGAACACAGAGTAAAAAAAGACTGAGGAAGGCGTTGATACATAATTTAATAGGCCTGTTACTTCATTCAATAGGCAGAAATAATTATAGTCATAAAGGGGGGCTAAACAATTCGCATAGCACAGCAATAAGTCATGCATATAAAGTAGGAAGAGAATAATGAAAGATATTAAAAGACAATTACAGTCAAAGATAAAGAACATGAAGTACTAGTTATCACATTATTATAAATATATTGAGGTCAGTAAAAGTTGTATTTCATTATTCTCAACATAACTTTAGGTGGCTTTTCACAAGGGCAAGAGTTAAAGAAGTGTGACAAATATCTTTAAACAAATCTCACACTTTTAAAAATGTTAGCAATGATGGCAGCCAGATAAGGCAGAGATTGTAGATGAAACATGTAAAAATAATCTTGTTGTTGTAATTGACGTATTTAGGTTAGTGAGTAGCAATTGTAAGTGTGTCGTGCAATGTTTTGGCCGCGGTCGCCGAGCGGGCGTAGGCAATCACGAGCTAAAGCAAGGTCATGGATGTCATATGTACGTTTGTAAGGTGTTCGTTGTAGTTGTGGGCACAGAAACTAATCCACTATCTGCACAGGCGGGCTCCCTGTCAGAGATAGCCTCATAGAGAACTCAGAGTGCTCCCTGTTGTGTCAGGCGTGTTTTAGATCGTGGCAGTATTTGTAATGCTGGTATGTGTCTTGTACACTTGGTGAGATATTTGGTCTAAGATTTAAGCTCTAACTGACCAAACAGCAGCATCACTGGTCCCCTGGTTTGCTTGCCTTAAACCGACACGGTTGAATAACAGCGTCAGAAATAGGGATATGTTAGGACTTTACTTAAAAAAAACAAAACAAGAGCATAACAGAAGAGTATGGCAGGTTTATTTAACCTAGTTTTGGTTTTGTTCAAAGAACTTCCAAATCAACAGTATCTAATTTAAGTGACAACAGTAATTGCTAATGTGGCCTATTCATTTAATGTGTTTAAAATGTGAAGGCATCAGGCATGGAATTGAGGTGGTGCCTGGTATGTTTGATCTACATTGAAAGCTCATGAGTTTATGATGACTATTGTCATAGTGTCATAGAGAAGACAAAGGTGGAAAGGGGTGTGTTTTGATGTGCGTGATGGAAATAGCTTCATATTTGTCCTCTGTTGTTTGTTCTGGGATGCATCCATTAGGCTTTTGTGTTTGTGTGTGTGTGTGTGTGTGTGTGTGTGTGTGTGTGTGTGTGTGTGTGTGTGTGTGTGCTTTTAAAGCGGCCCTATTATACTCCTACTTCGGTAAAATAGTGACGTCACTATGTAACACTCGCACTTCTATCGGCTAGCGCTCCAACACAATGTACGTGATAGGCTAAGGGACGGGACATGTCTGAGCGGTTGACCAATCACAACAGACTCGGAGAGTTTCTGGTTTCACACTCTTTCTGAGGCTCTTCTTAGATTGTCACCATCAGCCCTCGTTTGTGCAGACTGAGATCATGAACAGTGTTTTGTTTGATGTGTGTGTGTTCAGATGGTGAAGACCACGGGAGGGCCTGCGCTCGGGGGCTCGGTGTCCAGCCCCGCCCTCACCAGCTCGGCTGTGTCCATGCTGCAGGACACCCTGAGCGACGGGGAGAAGCAGCTGTGGACGTCTCTGGGTCCCAACTGGACGCAGCCACGGTCAGTACCGACATGCAGGGGTGGCAGGGGAACAAGAGGGAGTACACTTATTCAAGGGTCTAGTTTTACATTATTTCACATCATCTATTGGACCTTTGTTGACATTTCATAGCGCAATCAAAGAATTCATTCTTATCTTTTTGATTTCACAGTTGCACTGATTTTGTTTGTCAACCCCTTTAGCCAGATGAGTGTTAATTAAAAGTGAAATATATCAATTATTGCATGATCATTCATCTCTCATATTATGCAGTTTATTCACTGACAACCGCTGCATGAAAACATCAAACATACAGTGTAAGATGTGCGCAATACTCTAAAGTTAAATTGGGGAACTTTATTGTAACAATTACTTCCTCCAAGCCAACAATATAATCGTGTTGGCAAAATTAAACACATACTGTATTTAAAGGGATTTCTCTGGCATATGAAACAGGATCAGAATGTTTTGGCAAATTGTCTTTCAATATGTACAAGAAAATGTATTCGAAATGCTCTTCATTTCCAAAAAAGAAATTACAGCTAGGAAGAAGGAAAATAAAACTGGACCAATAAAGGTTTAGCATGGAAATATTATCGTTCTATCTATTGTTAACTTTATTGTGATCATTTAAAATGGTAAAGATATTCTACTCTTAGGCAACAGGCAGCTTTAAAACAAAGATTCAAGCTTTTGTAAAAACTTCCAAACACTGGGGTAGGAATGTTTAAAAGTCATGTTTCTACATTGCTGTAAAATGTACATTTCCCTACTCTGTGACGCTTAAAGGATATCTGATTACTGTTGATCCATCGTTTTTGTTTCTTAAGTTTAACCCAAGTGACTGTGTGTTTCCTCACAGCTCTCAGCTCCGAGGGCCCGTCGCTCCCTACACTCCTGTGTTTTTGGACGGGTGGAAGCCGGAGGCCTCGAGGGCGGACGGGCAGGTTTGGGAAGATCCGGTCGAGTCACAGCACAAACATGACGCCCTCCGAGTCAAACCAGAGGTACGGAAAACCTGCTGCGAGTCACGCGGCTCAGACACTCGCTCCATTGTGTGTGTCTAGAGGAAAGAGCACTGGGAATATGCGTGTGTAAAAGTACAACACGGGGGTTGAACGAAATAACAGACACACAATACCACGTAAAGATCAAGTAAACACTGGAGCTGAACTCTCCTGTAGAGTGGCCTCAGTTCACCTCACAGTCAGTGGTACAATCTGTATTTAAATGGTATGTTTGTGATAAAATGGCCTTGTATTCCTGTGCTATTTCCCAACGCTTCTCAGGCTCCATGACATGATTGTCGAAGGCCGAGTTTCTGCTGATGAATGCGTTTGCAATTCAAGAATTTGATAATGAGCATATTTTGAGTCACCTAATTCTTGAAGGCTTACTCACAGAAGAGGAAACCGTAAAAGATGTGTGCATGACTCTTTTATTTTGTCAACCACTCCCCCTCCCTGTGTGGGATGACCCCTCAACTGATTCACTCCACCCAAAAGTGCCTGTGTTGTAAATTCATTCATAAATATCCAACCTTTTTTACCCCCAGCAGCTGCCAAGTGGTCCTCCAGAAATCCACATCAGTGATGAAACGTAGGTCTTCTTCTTTAACAAGCATATCAATCATCTGCTAAGACCCTCCCCCCTCCTTGTCCACATGATAACAGGGTCTGTTTTCTCCTCTCAGAGACGACAGTGAACTCCCCCCCGACAAGGACAGACTCTACAGCTGCACGTACGACTTCATCGCGAGGAACAACACCGAGCTCTCCGTGCAGCAGGGGGAGACTCTCGAGGTAATGAAGTCAAGTACAGTGAGATATGTTCGTGGTGCATTCAGGGACCCAGCATGAGGTTTCATACACCCAGTGCTGGAATGTAACTAAATACATATACTGTAGTGTACCTACAGTCATACCATTCTGAGTTACTTCTACTCAATTACATGTGAGAGACGTGTATTGTACTTTTTACTTCACTACATTTGCCTGACAGATTAAGTTACTAGTTAACTAAACCTTGAATCTATGTCGTTTTAAACAAGTTTGATAAACTGAAAGATGAAAAGTTAATCTAGGGGTTTAGAAAATGTTCCTAGTTCTTAAACTAATTGCTCTTGGGCTAGCTTTTGAAACTCATGAACAGCTGACCATTTGGATAGCCTATGTTTTTCACACAGGACAGATTCATACAAAGATATGATGGTCTTTTAGAACATGATGCATTGCTGTCATTTAATCTACACAATAGTATCTAAAACAAGCTACAGCAGTAAAATGCAAAGCTCAGTATCTGGTGCCGAAATCGCGTCATTTGCAGGAAACAACGTCTAAGGAACCTTCATATTTAATAAACTATGAATGTTTTATATCCATATAACGGAAAAAAACTAATTTAACTGATCGTTTTCATCTTTTTTTTCAAATAAAAATCAAATTTGCTAACACTGACCCTCTGAATTAGCCCGAGCGAAAAATGCTAACCTATTACTGCACCGAAAATCACTCCTAGCACCCTTATTACTTATCCTAGCTGCACATCCAATACATCGTTTATGATCGTAAGGAGACACAGAATCTATTGGTACCTCAACACTCAAAGATTACAAATTCGCGGAGAAAATAACAAAAACCTACATCATAACATGTCGTGCTAGGTAGCCAAAAACGCTAACATGGTTTACCTTGTCTTTGTCTGGTCAAAACTGGTCTTCAATGGCATTAAAACGATAAAAACGATGCTGTGGTTAATCCATAGGTTAATCCAATGTGTCCCCTTTCAAATGTTCTGATAATCCAGAAGCAATAAAACAGCTTTTCCGTTGCTTGATATTGCTTGCAGGATATTTCTCCCCTCTGCTGCAAGCTAGCATGCACAGAGACGCCACCTTTTTTTAACATGACGATTTCCCTTGGATTCTATTGGCTCTAACGGTTAATTTACTCACAGACAGGTTTGTATAAAACAAAGAATATCACCTTTTTGATTGGAACCTTACTACCCACTGATTTTCGAATTCTTAGGTTTCATGTTTGTCTATTATTCATGGGACATAGTTCTAACTACGTTTTGTTCACTATAAACTGAAAAATCTCCTAAATCGTTTTTTTTTTGAAAAAGACCCCGTAAACCCACCTAAAAGGTATAGAGACCGGGGGAAAGAAGCTAAAACTGTATACTGTAGAAGGACTGGCAATCTCGTTTATCCTTAGCTTCCCTTTAGCAGGNAAATCAAATATGTTGCAGTGCACTGTCACAACCTACTGAAAACTCCTTAACATATAGCCAACATTTTGGTAAAACATATTCAACATATTCCACTCAGTTAAACATAACTGAGTGGAATATGTTGAATATGTTTTACCAAAATGTTGGCTATATGTTAAGGAGTTTTCAGTAGGTTGTGACAGTGCACTGCAACATATTTGATTTAATTTATTTTGGTCGAATTTATTTTTATTTATCATAAAATATATGTTTAGTATGGTTTTGGAAGTGCGCTCCAACATATTTGTTGATCTTGTTTATTGGTAAACTATTATTTGTTTTAAAGTTCAATAAATGGTCAATGAATAATCGTGATATCAATTATTGACCCAAATAATCGTGATTATGATTTTTGCCATAATCGCACAGCCCTAACGTAGTATACTTGAAATAGTGGCTCTGCAGCAGCTCTACTCGACATTGAGAAACGAACAGTGTTCCTGTTAGTGTGTACTTCCCATCTGTCTTCTTCTGCTGATTTCTCTGTCTTCCAGCTTTTGCTTTTTCTCGTTAATTTTCTTGCGCTGTTTTTTTCGTTCTCTTTTTCTTTACCCCCCACAAATATAAAAAATAAAATTCAAAAATGTTTACTTGCTGTATTTTAATGGAGGAAAAGGTATGGTTTTTTTTTGGGCACCGCTGATGTTTCATTTGAACGGGCTTCTTCCTGCGGATTGATATGACTGCACAGTCCCTTGACCAGAGCGTCCTAAGCATCGCTTAAAATCCAAATGGACAAATCCGAATCCTACCATGTAAGCAAGTATGTCATATGTGAAGCATTTTAATACCCATCAACCACACCAAACGTGAGGAAAACCATCCCAAATGAAACTGCAAGGGGCGCCATCTAATACGATTTTGCAGACCTGTGATCAGATCATGTGTGGCCTTTGCGGGGTCAGTTTTCCGTAACACAATTTAGTTTTGGTCTCCATGACTCCCGTGGGAAATATCTGGCTGTTTAGCTTATTAAGATTCCACTGTTTTCACCTGGGGTTAGACATAATTTCCTCTTTTTTTAATAAAGAAATACTAGTTTTACTTAAATGTACTTTATAGAATTACATATTTTGTCTTTGTTCATGTGTTGTGATTTGATTTGATGTCACAATGAAATGCTTATTTCACTCATTAGGGACGTATCGCCTTTGGGCATGTCTTTCATTGAATTGCGGCAACGGATGTACGCATGTAGAGATAAAACAAATAGCATTATTTATTTTATTTATTGCGCATTTCAAGTCTTCCGTACCCGAAGGCGTTTGCACTTCATTGGACATTCAGTCATTTTAGCGTTTTAGTGTCACAAACTTTGTCCGGCTGCACTTTACATAAATAAAAAAGAACAGACTGGAAAATAAAATAAAAATATACTGATTGGAGCGTCTTTAAGTAAGCATTCGAGTGCACTACACTATTCCCTTGCAATGGAGTATTGTCAGATCATCGTGTTATTGCACCAGTGGCATAAAGTCAGACGAAAACACAACCAATAATCCCAGAATGCACCTGTGTGGAGGCGGATGCACATCAACTCACACAGTCAGATAGCAAGGCGATAACGTTGTAATTCCCCGCGTTTGCATTGCTTGTAAAAAAAGACAGCCAATTAAAGATCTTCATAATGCAGCACATCACCGCGATGAGTTACAGCTGAGAGGGAATACGGAGTGAATACACATTTTTAAAGATTCAAGGAGAATACAAATAATTACAGGAGCACTGGATAACAGAGTCCAATGCTCCTGTAATAACACACACACCAACATGTAGATGCAGGAAAACATTAAACACACAAACACGCAGAGAGATTGAGAGCATTTGGAAGGTTGTATAATTCTCTCAGTGGGTGTCAATTAAATCCCTCAGCTCTGTCAACGGCACACACACACACACACACACACACACACACACACACACACACACACACACACACACACACACACACACACACACACACACACACACACACACACACACACACACACACACACACACACAATCGACAACTTTCTCTTGTTCAAACACACACAACACACACACACAANCACCATTCAAAAGCTTTCTGATGCGGGTCTTGAAACAAAGCAGAGAAATGATGACCGTTAGTGGCCACAGGCTGAGAAAGCTCTCTCCAGAGCTACTGGAAGCCCAATCTCGGGGACCGGAGAAAGTGGAGCAATATTCTCGCCACGCCAAGCAACAGCCTCGAACAACCTCAACCTATACAAGTGACCACGTAAGCCATGCTACTGATGCTGGACAGTTTTTCAGTGGGTGCACAATAAACAGCAACATACACATTAATGTAAATAAACAGCCAAATAATGGATCAACGCTCTCTGTCTAATATGTTCGCTTGCTCTTGTTCTTGATATGCCACACCTGTGAGGTGGGATGGATTATCTCGGCAAAGGAGAAGTGCTCACTATCACAGATTTTTTCAGATTTGTGAACAATATTTGAGAGAAATGGTTATTTTGAGTATATAGAAAATGTTTTAGATCTTTGAGTTCATCTCATGAAAAATGGGAGCAAAAACAAAAGTGTTGCGTTTATATTTTTGTTCAGTGTATACTGTATATATACTTTGGTTAATACATCCTTATATACCTATCTATCAATCTCTCTTTAACATAGTGTTCAGCTCAACATATTAGCCCAGATGAAACTTCAGCAAAGACTGCATAAATGACTTCAGTTTCCTGGATCTCTTTTTGTTTGTGTTATCTAAAATATCAGACGCCAAATGACTTAAAGTGTCCATGCCTGGCCGACATATCCAAACCACGGTTTTTATTTGCACTTATTGTTACTGAGCTGCAGATATCTGTCAAGACAAACCCCTTACCCATGAAGGGTAGTCTGAATAATAATTTCAGAATCTAGAATTAGGGCTTTGACAAAATGATGTCCATTCCAGCTAATACAGGTTTAAAATGCTTTGCACAGCAATTTGAATTAGCAGCAATGATGCCGATTTAGATATCTGCAAACATTATGTACTGCGAGTGTGTAGTTTAGTTCACAATACACACTGAATAAAAAGATGGTGGTCTGCCCTGGATTTAGGGGGAAGCTAGTGGGGAAGGGGCCATTGCCCTTTACCCTGCTGGCCTGATTGGTGTTCGGACTGGTTCGATCCAATCACATAACTGTCTCTAGTCTTATTTAGTTCTTCTTTCTTTTTTAAATACTCTGCCACTTTCCTAAACTAAAGCAGGATTTAGTTTCCATTGAATTTACATTCCATTTACACCATGGGCTCTGCATGACAGAGTGTTAGAATAGGAGTGTGTGTGTGCGTCAGTTTTTCCGAGAGCTTCTGAAGCTTGAGCAGTGACAGAAGCCTCCGGCAGAACAGCTGATCTGTGAGTCCTGGCATTTTTGAATGAGATGTTAACACCAGCTGTGATGTCATGGGGTCTTAGAGTCACAACGGTTTAACCAAGTGAAGAAGGACAAGAGCTGGATCCATGTTTATGGAGAAAAGGAGATCTGAGCCGTGTCTCCCCCTCTCATCATGGGCAACACAAGATCACGGCGAACGAAATGTGTTAGCCAGAAGCCAGACGGAATATCTGGAGCAG